CGCACCAATTAAATTAAGTAGTGTAATTAAGAGAGGAAGAGGAAGAATATAATTAATTAAAGTGGGTGGAGGATATATGGGACCTGTTCGGGTGGCTGAGAGACACACAAAAAAACTGAGATTGGGTGTGTGAGCATTATGAGAAACTTTGAAGTCTATCAATCATGGCGCAGTTAATTATTGTTGGCACTTGCTAGTCTCATGTGAAATGGACGCTCGTCTAGTTTTCATCGTCAAATGTATACATATCGCTTAGTTTAATTATCTGCAGATATAATTGCCCCCCTATCTCTGTCATTGCTGCCTCCTTCCTCAGCACACAAAAGTAACCTTCACTGTGCTCTCTCTTCAATCAATCCTTTTGCTTTTCCCTTAGCCATTCACAATCCACTCCTTAGCTCGCTTTTGCTTTTCTCACATGATTTTATTTTTATTTCAATACTTTAAACCAAACATGCCAATTCATTCTACTTAATTGCCCTGATCGATGAATATTCAATCTATTATTAATTACCATCAACGTTTTTTCTTGTTTCGGACGAAAAGTGGTTGCGTGCTGCGTGTGGAGGATAATCGCTATTTAACTTTGGGACAGAATACGTCATCGTTCGAGGAATCACACGTCAACTCTCTTCAACGTTCGTTGTATCTGGTTTGATTTATTAAAAAGGAGAGTGCTGTTCGTTCATGACGTTCGATTCTCTTTTAAACTTTGCCAAAAAAATACAAGAGGCTGTGAAAACTCCAAAATTAGGCTTGCCAACTTCGTTAATCCTACACCATTTCTTTGTTTGCTCTTTATCTTAATCTCGCTCAACTTTGGGCTGAAATGGAAGAGCGCATACATTTCTTATCAGCTGGCTAGAATCATGTCACACTGAGACATATATCAATTTCCTCTCTTCTTTTGTTTTTCTTTAATTTTCCCCTTTCAATCATATGTATTCCTAGCAAGCTAGCTCCTTACTCTGCGTTATCCATAATAGTGGGACCGGATTTGATTTTAAATTACTGTGCTTCCACATGAGATTTAACACCTTGTTTCGAATTAAAGGCCCTTCTCTTGATTAATTAGTTGAAGCATTATCATCAAATACATGTGTGTATTGTCTACACAGACATCACATTTGATTGACATTCTTAAGAATATAGTTGACATTATCTCTCTCTCTCTCTCTCTCTCTATATATATATATATATGACCAAGCATAAACCTAAGTTTAGTTTTATTTTAGGCTCTAGATATGTATTGATTCATCTTAACTCTAAATCTAAAGAATTTAATTTATGAATTATCAAGTCCACTTATACATGGATAATTTAATAAAAAATAGATTATGTCTGAATTGACTTTGTTACCCATTTTTTAATTATTTTTTCTAGAATTGACTTGCTTGATGAGATGAGTGAAAGTCGTTGAATAACTAATCAATTTATTAATTACAAGATTAAAAGAATGAACCCAGTGCGATCCCAAAAACAAAGGCTCGTTGATGCAAGCGGGTGAGCAAATAATGTAGGATTAAATAGTAACTTCAAATGCTGAGGAGGAATGTTATACGAAAAAAAAAAGAGTTTGAGATTCTAAACATTCATGAATATATAGTTTAAGAGCCAAAACAATAATGTATATGGGATATGTTATGGTTACACACGCACACACAAACCATGTTGTTAATTAATAGATATTGCAGGTGAAGATGCACGGATGGGAGGATGAAGACGTGACACAAAAGTTAGTGCAAAAAAAAAAAAAACACAAAGCAAAATAAATGGGATGATGATTGGGGTCAAATAATTGTTGGACTGTGTATAGTACAAATCAAGGAGGGTTGAAAGCAGAGACAAAGGCGAGCAGAGAAGTGAAAAATGAAGGGACAGTGGCACGGGGCATTCTGTGCTGTGATTGGAGGGTGGGGGTCCCACCCCTTGCTTCCCCTGTCTTTGACATGAAGAAAGAGAGGGTCATGGAGGTGGACCCCTTCATTATTGGGACGCCTAGTCAACGCCCTCTTCTCATACGTGGCTCATTCCTCGGCATTGATTGGAAGTGGGTCTCTCCACTTCCTTTTTCTCCATTTCCCTCCACTTCCCCCATCCTCACCATTCATTAATTTTATCATTTAAAAAAATTATTTAATAAAAAAATTTGAATGGTGAGGATGGAGGAAGTGGAGGAAAAGGGAGGGAAAAAAGTGGAGAGACCCCTGGTCCGCATTGATTACCCACCTTCTCATTTTCATGCGTCTACAGGCTTCACTGTAAATATAAACTGACAGAATCAATTTATCGGGCATGTTTTAATGATCTGATATATCAAATCCATACTTTTGAAATTTCAGTTGGAGGTTATTCTTATACCTTATATTTAATTTCTTCAAGTTCTAATTATAAGATAAAGTTTTGTAGTTTTATTTGACCTTAAATATAATGCAAGGCAAAAATATGATAGTAGTTATTTTTTTAAATCTTGGCCCTCATTAATTACAAGTTATTAGTGGCATGCTTTTAATTTTTATATAAAACAATTTATTATGATTATTAATTTCATTTAATGATAAAATTGAAAAGTCGCATCTTTTTTGGCTGAAAGGAGTGTGTGTGTGAGCTCTATCATTATCTTTTTTTTTTTTAATAAACAAGGATATAACTATATATAATTAAGCTGCAGGGACGATACAATCAAGAGAAAACTCAAAAGAACAAAATGACATTTCAAACAAATCATTTCAACCTTTCATCATTCACCACCTTACAATAACAAGATGGAAGATGATTAGAAGCTCAAAATGGGAACCCTATATTATGAGAAAAAGTAGTTAAGATATTTGCTATCTCATTAGCCTCTTTAAAAGTGAAATTTAAAACTAAAGTCCAATCTTTGTTAACAAGCTCTCTAGCTTTTAGAACATCTTTTCAAATAAGATGGTCAATAATGAAATCTTTAAGAATTAAATTGATAGCTTTGATTCAGTCACTAGTTGCTTCCACTTATTTTTAGCCAAGAATCTAACAAAATTCCAGCCCTTTAGTTATACCTTTGATTTAACTTCAACATCCATAATTACTCCCCCACAGCCACAAGCACTCCTCCTATCTACTAATACAAAGGCGTTAGTGTTAAACTTAACAAAACCATTAACAGGAGGAACCCACTTGGTTGAGGTATTCCTTCTGCTAAGATTGAGAGAATAAATCATTATGTTTTTAGATATAAAGAGACTTGAGGGAGTACTGCAAAAGTTCTATCCATGTCTGTGCCTCTGCCTCTGAGGTGCAAAGATGCTGGTACGGATGGAGTTGAGAGCATAATTGTGAGGAAAGATAAGGTTGGGGGAAGATATGTGCATGAACCACCATACCACGCTCAGCAGCTGGGATCCAAATCCAATGTACATAACATTGTAGCTTAGCACGCAATTGGAAACTCCACCAGGACCTCCTCAAGTTTTGTTTCTCGTACCAATGCTGCATATTCTGTCCACTAATTCTGTCCCTTCCCTTGTCTCCATCTTACAATAATCGTGCTTCTCTCCCTCTCTTCACGCCCTGCAACTTCAACACGTTTCAATCACACACTACCTACACACTTCGGTCCGTTTGCTTATTAAAAATGAAAGGAATGTAATGGATTAAAAAAATAGAGGTAAAAAATTAAGATGATTGGAAGGAATAAGTGAACATATTCATATAAAGGAAGGATAACTTAGTTCACAGAGTTGGAAATTATAATTTATGAAATTTTTGGAGGGTGTGATAATTCTCACATTTATAATATATATTAATGAGTTTTATCATACTTACTATGAGGAGAAGGGTGATTTTATTCATTTTTATCTTAATTTTTTTAATTCATTCTATTTTATTTTATTCTAGTAACCAAATGGGACCTCCATCCTCTAGTCTACAAACTTCTTCTTTCCTTTGCCTTTTGTTGCTGCTATTTATTTCCTGCCTACTTTTCTGCCCTCAAGGCCAAGCCTTATCTTACAAATTTATTTTATGTGGTGATGGCTAATGGCATCTTTTTAAATTTTTTCACCCCTGTTAAAAATGAAGAAATTAAATTAAGAAGTTTCACATCTAGAAGATAGAAAATATATTAAAAATGTATAAATTTAGAGTGTATCTAATCAAATGACTTAAAATATTTTAATAAAATAGACTGCACCCTCAAACATAATTAATATAAAGAGTTTAACATAATATTAAAGCTATTTGATTGGGGATAAAAACGAAAAAAAAAAGAAAGATAGTGAAAGAATGAAAAATAAAAAATAAAAAAGAAAGAGAGAAGAAGACTTGAATAGATTTAGATTAAAAATGTAAAAAGCTTGTAATGCGATAAATTAAATGACTTAAAATATTTTAAAGTAGACTCCTCTCAAATATAATTAATACTACAAAGTGTTTAACAACCACCACTTGATGCTGCTGCTTTTTTCAATTTCGTTCTCAACATTATTCAGTCCCCTGTTCATTTGATGCCCACACCCTTGAATTTTTGTTCCTTCAGTTAGTGACAGAATCTGACACAACCAATATTATATTAAAAGTGACGCAGAGAGAGAATCTGGAATCAGACTATTGCATCCTCGCCATCTCCAGGACTATGAGTTTATCAACATTTTTCATGCCAATTATTCTACTAATTCTAGGTTGAGATACCGACAAAACCTTTTCGGCCAGTGGGGAGTAACCAAGTCGTATTCTGCAATTAAATCACTCAGAAGCAGCTGCTGCTTCCTTTTTTAATAAAAGAAAAAAAATAATCGAATTCATTGCAATATGCAATTTGAACAGTTAATTAGTGAGATAGCAGAAAAAAGTTGGCAAGCCTTTCCCTGAAACTACAGAAAACAAAGAGGAGTTCAGGAGTGATGGCTCTCTCGTTGCCGTCATGGGATTAGCCCCATGACACTTCAGTGAGCATAATTTCTGGCTGGAATTAAGAATTCAATTCTAACGAAACGTGATGACGATCGAGTACAGCGACAAAGTAAAAGTTAATAACTGGCTGCTATTTAGAATGGCCAAGTTCTGGACAATGCAGATTAACACAACAGTAAAGCTTCAGGAAGGGGGTAAAAACTTGAAAGCTGGCTGAAGACGTCTTTTAACATGGAATGAAACTAGAAAAGTTAGGATCAGCTTTTCCCATTACAAGAACAGATCGGGTCCACTTGTTTACATTCTTAATTCTGATTGATCCATAGCTTGTGTCCCGGAACCCACTTCGGACCTTTGGGACTAAAGTAGCTTGCCACTACCCTCGAGTTTAACAGCTCTACAACAGGTGCGAATTTGACGCACCTGGGCGTCTTGTACTGGTTTATGGATGCTCCTAAGCTGATAGCATAATCCATGATTTTATCAAACGTCCCCTGTTCCACAATCTTAATCTCAAGTGGCCCAATTGATTTGTCCGACACACGTCCTTGACGGTACACGCTGTTGAGCGATTCTTCAATGGTCTGACAGCAATCCTCGTACACAGATGCGGGAATCGGAGTCAATCCATTAAGGTTGATCTCCCAGTACAGCACATAATGCCCCGGGATTGTATTTGTGTCTGCGTAACTAGTGTACTCAGCCACGGCAGCATCAAATGGAGCCAAGTGGGTCACAGCATTCTTCATTGCGTGCTGAAGCTCAACCTCGTCCGTTTTGTCTGAATCAATGCTCAGCACCACGTTCTTCCTGCATACGAAGTTGAACTGGGGTGCCTTGTTCTTGAATCCAGCCACTCTCAGCACGTCTCCCACCTTATACCTATATAACCCTGAAATCTCCAATCCAATATGTGCATCAATATCACTGAAGTTTAAATATTTTTTCCGCAAAAAGAAGATTCAGAGAATATGCAGTCTAACCGGCAAAGGTTGTGACGACGAGCTCGTATTCTTGGCCGAGCTTGACATCCACGAGGTCCACTACCTCTTGTTCATCGCGGGATGTCGGGTCAGGAATAGAATCGGTGGGTCCATTGGTTCTGTTAACAGGAAGGAATTCGAAGTAGGCCATGGTGGGGATGAGGGTGTAAGAGACCTCGCTGGGTTTGCAAAGAGGGTCGAGATTGAGTCCAAAGTAGCACTCGCTGGAAGCGTACATGGTGCAAACAAGTGGTAGGCCATTGGAGTAGTAATCAAGCGTGGGAATGTACTGTGACATCGTCCCCGTCACAATAACATCCACGTACTTGGTGTTGGGCCACAACCTGGTGATGATCCCCTGCCAACAATTTTTCCTGCACTCGGATTCAATGAAACCTGCTAGAATCGGGTCGGGTTTCAGGATCTTCATGACGGAATCTCGCACGGAAGTGTCCGTGATCTGGGGGTTAAGTGTTCCTGTTCTAATGTCGTTGCAAAGAAGGGCCCAGTGTTTCTCAAGGAAGCGAATTCCCCGGATGAAGCCAGAGGCAAAAACAGCACCGACCCTAAGGACGACGTCGTTTTGGCAGAGACCGCAGAGCAATTGGGAGTACATGCTTTGGTAGGAATCAGGACAAAGGATGGTCTCAATGGGGCTGGTATAGTTTGCGTAGGGATCGGTGGGCGATCTGTTCTTAAAATGAGAGCTTTTGTAGTAACTAGTGAGAACGGGACGAGCCAGGAGGCCTGAGGGTGTTTTGGCCTCAGATTTAATGAAGTACAAGTACATTCCTTTGCCTTTTTCCAGGCCAGGCACAAACTGGCTCATCACGGGCATCAACAGGCTATAAAGCGAACTCCTTCTCTCGCCTTCTTCTTCAATTGTGGGCATCAGCTTTCTTTCCCCTCCCGATGTCCCAGAGCTGAATGCAAAAGCCAAAACCCATTAATCTCACCAAAAATACATACGAAGAAAAGTGACGTTTGATATAAATATACATGTATATATATATAGAAAGAGAGAGGGAGAGAGACTATGGAATTAACCTAGTGAGGAACTCAGAAATGGGCTGGGAGCAAAGGATGGGAGAAGTGTCGCCATTGGCGATGCGGTTGATGTCAGATTGGATATGGTCGTAGGAAACGAGGGGAAGAAGTTGCTTGAAAGTATGGCGGTCGGTGCGGCCGCTGAGGCCATGTCTGAGCAAATACTCGACGTTGGCATTACGGGAGAGAATCTGGGTGAGGACCTTGTGTTGGAGTTGATCAGCGTTGGAGGTGACGTCCTCAATGAACTGAAGAGCTTTCTTGTTGAGCTCAGAGAGGCTAATGGTGGAGTCCAAGGGTGCTTCAGGCATGGTGCTGGTGGCGTGAGAGAGAGAGAGAGAGAGAGAGAGAGAGAGAGAGAGAGTAGATATTCTTTAGAGAGGAGAGGAATGGATTGGGTGTGAGGTGAAGGGAATGTGATAGAGGGGTATATATAGAGGCACATTTCAAGTTAGGATGACTACGAAGCATGGACCATCACAAGTAAATTTACAATGTGATCAAGGGTGGATTCGGAACTTTGTTAATATCACCTTTTGTTGTTGTTGGATAAATTAGGTTGCTTTCCATTGAAATAAAATCTTAATTATTCCCTTTTTTTAAAATGCCATTTTATTATATTGATCAAATATATCTTTATTATTTATTTTTTATATACTACATAACTATAAAAATGTTTTTTCTATGAAAATAGTTCTAATTATTAATCATTAAGTTTTATAATCATGAAGTAAAATTTAAATATCTTTTAAGACGAAAAATTCCGGATATATTATATTTGTAAGTCCGTTGGCTTTTCATTCAATGTGTTGTCGTAGAATGTTAACTTTTTACCCGGCCTATTCATTCTTAGAATTAGGAAAACATTGTGTTAACTATTGTCAATCAGAGGACGAATCTAGACATACCTACAAGCTACGTCCAGGAAAAATACAAAATTATTCATGTAAGTTATTAATAAAAAATAAATTATTCCCCCCCTTCTTACAATATAAATTTTTAAAAATAAATAATTCGCACGAGCCTTTTGATTGGATGTGATTGATGATGGAGTACGCTCGTAAAAAAAAAAAAATAGAGAGAGAATGATTCAAGTGAGATAAAAATGAGGTGCTGGGGTGAAGATATATAATAAGTTAATAACTAGATTTCCAAACCCTAATTATGTAATTAAAATAATAATAATAATTTAAATATCTTAAAAAGAATTAATATAATTACCAACAAACGTTAGATGGAAGATGTTATGATCATTTAAGTACATGAGGTTTTGTGAGTTCGTGTAAATATTAAAAAATATTTAAAAAATTTAATCTGATTATATTTGCTCATGATAATATCTGAATATGATTCAGTCTAACATTTCTATTAAAAAAGAATCAATAATTCTTGCAGTTGAGTGTACTGTGTAGACATTCGTAGATAAGAAGCTAGCCAACAAGAAACAGGATGCATGGACGACTCTGTGATGTGAAGACAATCAACAATGACAATTAAAGAAAAGAAAAAAGATACATACATACATACATACATACATATATATATGAAGTTATTTGGGGGATGGTGACACTTGGGAAATTCGTCGTCAACACACCAAGATGAAAGAACTGCTTATTTAGTTTACAAGCTTAGTATCTCCACGGAGATAATATTAGACAATATATCTTGCGTTGTAACATTCACCTCTTGAAATTTATTTGCTTAATTTCCTAAAAATTACATGTGTCTAACTATATCTCTCCTTGTTTTGTTTTTTTTTTAATCATCCCAATCCTTCACCATATACGGGGCCCTACACACATTCACACCACACCAACCACAAAAGCCCACATACACATTTAATAATAATTTTTATATAATTTTTAATTCCTACACTTTACTTGCATTTTTGTATTAATCTTGTATTTTTTTTATGTTATAGATTCTTACATTTTTATTTTTTTTATTATTTTAGGTCCTTTCATAAACAAAGTAAAAAGACTTTAGAAAGACCTAAAATAATCAAAAATAAAAGTGTCAAAACCTAAAACATAAAAAAAAAAGATCAAAAGTAAGTTGTGAGTAAAGTGCAAAGAGTCAAAACTATATTTTTTCATTATTTTTCTAATCATTTGGGATAGAATTCACAACTTCTCTCTCTCTCTCTCATATTTTTGGATGCAAGCCAGCTTTGAACTCTCCTTTTTAAGAGAGTTTGGGATGCCACTAAACCAATAAGCTGTTAGCATAATTATATATCTCTTTCAATTGTTCCACAATATAATTCGGATTTCATTCAATCTTAACCATGTCAAGAAACCAAGTTCTTCAAAATTTTGTTCAAATTACACATAATTGGACGCCATAATTGTTTTTGCTTTTCTCTTTAGTCAGCATGTATATGCGAAGATTTACCAATATAGATTGCCCCTACGTGTCCTGCTATATTTGAATGAGGGCAAATAGGTCAGTGGCGAATTGGAATGAGAATGAAAAATTTTCAGACTTCCCATCAAGCATAATTGTTTTAATTGGTAAAATAAGCAACAAATAGAAACAGATCAGCGTCTTCGATTTAATTATCGATTGATCGCATTAATTTATCACACTACGCCACTCTTCTCTTCACACACACACACACACACACACACGAAAGTTTCCTTTGACACATTCTTATAGTCTCTTTAACCTCAGTATAGTATACTAAGAAAAAGCCGACAAATTTGTCGAGCGCTTTTGTCTGAAAATATGCCATGTTGAACTGCTGACCCGTCTGTATTATAAATCAAGTAAAAAAAAATTGTATTATTCATACGAAACGTATTTTCATCATGACATGATGAGTCCTCCATTAATGTTTGCGTTCTTTGGAATTTTACTCAAATTAAAAACCAACACTCACTGGGCAAGCCGCCCTTAAACTAACGCTCATTAATTTTACTCCTAATCATGGAGATTATCTGGAAATTTTAAAAAGCTCTCATTAATTCTTGTCTAGAATTGGAACCAGTTTGAGAGGTCATTATCTCTGGACAGTTTAAATTTAATTTTCATGGTCCAGATTTACAATTTTTCAACAAATATTTTTTAAATAAAAAATATTTTTAAAAAAATAACAGTTAAAAGATTATCTTTATTTTAGATTCTGTATCAATTAAAATACTTTTTTTAAAAAATAAAAATAAAAAATTGTAAATCTGAACCACCCATATTAGATATGAATGATCTAGAGGTGATAAGCTCTTAATATTCATCTATATGATGAGTTCAAATGAGTACTGAAACTGGTTTCTAATTGATCAATTGGAGAGATCCACTAAAAGAAATTAATTAACCTTATCGTTTTACTGTATATTATTAGTAATAGATCTGGCCGATTATAGTGACAGCAATGGACAGATTATATTGACGTTTTATTCTCCTTACCAAAAAAGTTTCATTGAATCTTTGCCAATTTATTCAGCGAAAATGAAGGGCAGGCAAGCCCTGTACATTTATAACTATGGCACCGAGGTACATTTGACACGTTCATGGTTGAAGATATATGAAAACAAAGAAATTAAATAACTATCAAAATAAAATCATCAACATAAAACATATAAATTTTAACAAAAACACAGGCAATATATTCATAATGAGTAGCTAGTAAATGGCAGATTGCACGTCACATGAGGACTGAAGTCCTGAATCGGAAAGAAAACATATAGTGTGTTACGTACGTTCGTGCATGGTGCAAAGTGGGCACCGGAGAACAGTCAAGCTCGTGTGTCATATTATTCAGATCTCTACACATTTTCTGGGTTCTGTAACATCTACAAATCGTTCTTTGGCTTCCCACTACTTCATCTTTTTTCTTTCATCCTCTTGCAATATTCTACGTACCTTCCATATCGTGTTGTCTCTGATATATTCAGCACACAGCTACAGAGATCACCACCTCCATCACCATCAATAAAGCATCATCTTAATTAAGTGATTTTCAGAATGTGAACTCATACTTTGATATTTACAGTTCCACCGGGAAATATAGCGCTTACGTTGGTCAATGATCATTGAAGAGTTTAACGCTATCATTTTTAGGCACAGATCGAACTTTATCAAACCTATTACATTACGGCTTGTTCCTAGTATCAAACCTATCAAGACATCCACGTTATAATTAAAGTAATAAACAAGTGCAGATCAAATTCAGTTAATATGTTTTCTTTTCACGACTCGATGGAAACGCGGTTTAATCATTCTGCATTCAGCTCTGCTAAACCATCATCAGTTTCATGATGTAGCCCCCACCACCAAAATGAAGACAACTTTTGACAGAACGAAAAGATGTTCCACGCAATAAAAATGTGCATTTTTATCTGAGGGCGCCGAATGTGGGACAGATTAGACCCGCTTATTATTTGTGTCAACCTCACTTTAAATTTATGGCTTAGAAACTGAATGGGAAATAAACACTTGTTCATTCTTTTCAATTTGAGATGCTTTACACAGGTAAAAAAGGTCTCATTTATAGTACTAGAATCTTGAAACTGAAGCAAACAAAGTAAAAGAAAGGTTACAGGAATTAAGGGAAGGTTATAGAGGTTACAAGAGTTTATTGTGCTCCATTATGTGACTTCCATTTTTTTCTCTTTTATTTTTCCATTTCATCCTCCCCAGGTTGGACAGAACTCGCCCTTGAGTCAAATTCATCATCTTCATCAATGTAAGGAGATAGATTAACAACATTGAAGGTAGCAGATATTCCATAAGAACCAGATAATTTCACCTTGTAAGCATTGTTGTTGATCTTTTGCACTATCTTCAATAGATCATTAGCTCTCGGGTACAGCTTGGCATTAGTTGTTTAGGAAATCATTCCTTTCATAAATGTATCCAAATCAATTCGCTCACGTTAAAAGTTTGATACTTCTGATGCTTGTCACGTTGAGTCTTATATCTCAAGTTCTGCTTCTGTATTCGTGCATGAACTTGTTTATGCAACTTCTTGATTTCTTTAATCCTTTAGTCAGTATCAAAACTATATTTCTACTTATCAAGTGAAAGAGTCAAATTTAGCGGACTAAGAGGACAAGTGCCACAAACAACTTCGAACAGACACTTTCCATTTGCTAGGTTGAAAGAGTTATTGTAGAAAAATTCAACTTGAGCAAGGATGAGGTCCCACTGTTTCAAATTCTTCCCCAAAAAACTACAAAGAAGATTATCAAGAATCTTATTTACAGCTTCAATTTAACCATCTATCTGGGAGTGACTAGCACTGCTAAACTGGAGCTTAGTTTTCATCTTTTTTCATAACGTCTGCCAAAAGTGGCTGAGAAACTTTATATCACGGTCAGAGTTAATAGTCTTGGGAATGCCATGAAGATGTACAATCTCCTTAAAGTACAAGTCTGCTACTTGAAC